GGAGGAGCCGGACGTAGGAGATGCGTCACAGAAGCTTTATTGGGGGAGGAGCCGGACGTAGGAGATGCGTCACAGAAGCTTTATTGGGGGAGGAGCCGGACGTAGGAGATGCGTCACAGAAGCTTTATTGGGGGAGGAGCCGGACGTAGGAGATGCGTCACTGAAGCTTTATTTGGGGAGGAGCCGGACGTAGGAGATGCGTCAAGGGAAGCTTTGTTGGGGGAGGAGCCGGACATAGGAGATGCGTCAGGGAAGCTTTGTTGGGGGAGGAGCTGGACGTAGGAGATGCGTCACGGAAGCTTTGTTGGGTTGGAGCCGGACGTAGGAGATGCGTCACAGGAGCTTTGTTGGGGGAGGAGCTGGACGTAGGAGATGCGTCACGGAAGCTTTGTTGGGGTGGAGCCGGACGTAGGAGATGCGTCACAGGAGCTTTGTTGGGGTGGAGCCGGACGTAGGAGATGCGTCACAGGAGCTTTGTTGGGGAGGAGCCGGATGTAGGAGATGCGTCAAGGAAGCTTTGTTGGGGGAGGAGCCGGACGTAGGAGATGCGTCACTGAAGCTTTATTGGGGATGAGCCGGACCTAGGAGATGCGTCACAGAAGCTTTGTTTTGGGGGAGGAGCCGGACGTAGGAGATGCGTCACAGAAGCTTTGTTTTGGGGGAGGAGCCGGACGTAGGAGATGCGTTAGGGAAGCTTTGTTGGGGGAGGAGCCGGACGTAGGAGATGCGTCACAGAAGCTTTGTTGGGGAGGAGCCGGGCTAGGAGATGCGTCACAGAAGCTTTATTGGGGGAGGAGCCGGATGTAGGAGATGCGTAACGGAAGCTTTGTTGGGGGAGGAGCCGGACGTAGGAGTTGCGTCACGGGAGCTTTGTTGGGGGAGGAGCCGGACGTAGGAGATGCGTCACTGAAGCTTTATTTGGGGAGGAGCCGGACGTAGGAGATGCGTCATGGAGGCTTTATTGGGGAGGAGCCGGACGTAGGAGATGCGTCACGGAAGTTTTGTTGGGGGAGGAGCCGGACGTAGGAGATGCGTCACGGAAGCTTTGTTGGGGAGGAGCCGGGCTAGGAGATGGGTCACGGAAGCTTTGTTGGGGAGGAGCCGGACGTAGGAGATGCGTCACGGAAGCTTTGTTGGGGGAGGAGCCGGACGTAGGAGATGCGTCATGGAAGCTTTGTTGTGGAGGAGTCGGGCTAGGAGATGCGTCACGGAAGCTTTTTTGTGGGAGGAGCCTGACGTAGGAGATGCCTCACGGGAGCTTTGTTGGGGGAGGAGCCGGACGTAGGAGATGCGTCACTGAAGCTTTATTTGGGGAGGAGCTGGACGTAGGAGATGCGTAAAGGGAAGCTTTGTTGGGGGAGGAGCTGGACGTAGGAGATGCGTCAGGGAAGCTTTGTTGGGGGAGGAGCCGGACGTAGGAGATGCGTCACGGAAGCTTTGTTGGGGAGGAGCCGGACTAGGAGATGCGTCACGGAAGCTTTGTTGGGGGAGGAGCAGGATGTAGGAAATGCGTCAGGGAAGCTTTGTTGGGGGAGGAGCTGGACGTAGGAGATGCGTCAGGGAAGCTTTGTTGGAGGAGGAGCCGGACGTAGGAGATGCGTCACGGGAGCTTTGTTGGGGGAGGAGCCGGACGTAGGAGATGCGTCACGGAAGCTTTGTTGGGGGAGGAGCTGGACGTAGGAGATGCGTCAGGGAAGCTTTGTTGGGGGAGGAGCTGGACGTAGGAGATGCGTCAGGGAAGCTTTGTTGGGGGAGGAGCTGGACGTAGGAGATGCGTCAGGGAAGCTTTGTTGGGGGAGGAGCTGGACGTAGGAGATGCGTCAGGGAAGCTTTGTTGGGGGAGGAGCTGGACGTAGGAGATGCGTCAGGGAAGCTTTGTTGGGGGAGGAGCTGGACGTAGGAGATGCGTCAGGGAAGCTTTGTTGGGGGAGGAGCTGGACGTAGGAGATGCGTCAGGGAAGCTTTGTTGGGGGAGGAGCTGGACGTAGGAGATGCGTCAGGGAAGCTTTGTTGGGGGAGGAGCTGGACGTAGGAGATGCGTCAGGGAAGCTTTGGTGATGTTTTTAGGACAGATCCTCAAATTGATGAATTAAAGGACAACTCTGATATTGAGGAGATTAAATCGTTTTCCCGTCTGTGTCCCATTCGTCGATTCCCCTGCACTTCCTGTCCAGTAGACACAACAGGAAGTGAGAAGAAATCTGTGAAGTTGAAGGGTGCCACCAAATCCCTGTGGAAGGTTTCTGTGGACAACGGACAATTCTGGATTTCCCATCACATGGTCTCGGTGACACCTGGAGAATTTCCCCGCCGGGGACTCTGTGATCGTAGTCACGGCTGCAGATTATATCATTGAGGGGGGAAAAGGGTTAAATGTATAAATAAATGCCGATCGTTGTAAGCCCCTCCCCCCCCGACACTGGTTTATGGTCTGACCCAATCCTGCAGCTGTTTGGCCTGTTACAGGAAGTGATAACATGTCGGATCTCCTGGCAGGATCAACAGGAAGTGATGAAACATTGTCTATTCTGTGGAATGTTTGTAACTATAAACTAAAACTTCCGGATGTGAAATCTGAA